ATAAGCTTAAAGGTAGGGTAGGTAAGAATGGAGAAACCAGCTCGAGTGCGCTAGAATTTGAAAGTACACAACCGAAATAAATCTGCCCCTTCCTTCAGACTTCCTTACAGAGCCCCTCCTCCAACACACACGAACGCGCACATGACCAATGAGGGCACGAGATAAATTTGTGCACGAGATGGAAGGCTGACAGGCAGGTAGGCCATCCAGTTATCTGCCGCGGTGGACTTAAATATTACAACAATTGACTTAAATGAGCTGAAAACACATTGTGAGATGGTTTAAGTTTTAGGATGATGGTGAAAAAAGAAAACATGTTCAATCAGCTTCCCTAGAAAAAGGTCAGGGTTAGGGTTTCGAAACCAACACAAAACATGCACCAAAGCATGATACCCTTAATGTTGTGTTTTACAAGATTATTCCTAACATTAGCATTACAAGGTTGCAACTAGGGTGAAAAGTTACTGATGAACCCAAATGCTGGTGAATGGGATATCTGGTAGCGAATGAAGCACAGATCTAAAACAGCTCTTTCCTATAATAAAATAAATAAAGAGTCGTAAAACGTCTGGCTGTTAAAAAATAAAAAGTGGCTGTTGACTTTTGGATTGGACCACTCACTGTGTCCACTCAGTGGAAAAGCTTAATTTCCTGCCCCGTTAGTGACCCAACGAACAACCCGACTTTAACACACTCAGGCATACCACCAATCGGGGTAAACTGCTTGCACATGAGCCATTAATGGGTTACTCACCACAACTGGGATTTTGTTCTCACACTGTAAAAGTTAAGAAAGAAAAAAAGTGTTAAACCTCTGCCTGGGTACAGTGAGTGCTCTGTGCCAGAGTGGAGGAATCTGTTGACTGGCTGCAAAGCACAGGGAGATGAGGGAAAGCTCATTATTTTTAATGGCACTGGTAGAGAGGGAGGAAGAGAGAAAGTGAGATAAACGGACCACAGTACTGACTGCAACACCTGAGGGCTTTTTTATTTATTTGTTCAAAATCTGATTTAATTTAGTGATCATTCGGAAATAAACCTGGCCACTAAGGCTGAGTCTAAATGTATGCAAGAATACAAAATAAGTTTACCATCACTTATTTTAATTTCCTTTTTTTATCAGAAGCAGAATTGTTTTTATTACTAAGTATTAGGGGTGTAACGGTTCACAAACATTTCGGTTCGGTACGTACCTCGGTTTTTTGGTCACGGTTCGGTTCGGTACGTTTTCGGTACAGCAGCATTTTTTTTCACAAAACAAAACATATATATATATATTTGTATTATTATTATTAAACTGTGAATAATGTATTCACTCAAATAAATACAAAATATAATAAAATAAACATTAAGGTGCAGCATTTCGATGAACTGAAATAATCTGTATTTGAACTTTACTGTACTAGTACTCACAAAATATAAACTATTAGTTTTGGGTTTTTAATTATTATTAAACTGTGAATATTCACTCAAATAAATACAAAATATAATAAAATGAACATTAAGGTGCAGCATTTCGATAAACTGAAATAATCTGTATTTGAACTGTAGCCTACTGTACTAGCACCTAAGCAGCCAGTTTGACATTAGGACTTGCTTGTCATTGTATTTTCATGTTTTTTTAAATAAAAATTAACTTGTCCACATTGCTTGCCGAAAGGGCAGATCTGCTGGCACTAACAATGTCTCCTGATGTGGAGAAAACCCTCTCGCTAGGGACAGAGGTAGCCGATACAGCCAGGCATAGGCGGCGCGTGAGACTCAGGTTTGGGAAGGCTAAATCACTTTTTTTTTACCTGACGCTGCCCGCCTCCGGCGTCTATAGAAAAGAGATCAACTCAGTGAAAGCACCGCCTGCTGACCGATCAGAGCTCAGTGTGCGGAGTTTAAATCTATCAAGTCATATTACAGGATAAAGGAAATACAGTTTAAACTGCCGTATGCAGAGAAGACGCCGACGTGTCGCACTTTATCATTCATATCACACTGATATCACATCATCAATCAGATCATCTATCTCACATCGATATCACAATATCTCCTTATCTGAGTCAGCTGAGCCGTATCTGGCCGTGCAACACTTAGTTACAGTGTCACAGACTGTATGCAGATGTATTATTTTAAGCAACACATTAAGTTGACGAAACACTCAACTCAAATGTAATTAAAGTCAGATCCCCTCGTGTTTTAGATGGGGCAGTATCATAAAACTGTTGTACGCTTTCAAACACTCTGTAGTTTATTTATTTTTTAACGAGTTGTTCTGTATTCACCTTGCAGCAACTCTGTGGCTTGTATCCTGGATTATATGTTTAAGTCATGGATGTCTAAAGTTCATATTTGTCTAATATTAGTTTACTTTTCATTAATGAAGTATGACGCTGCGCTGTCAGTACACTTGTCCCTGTTTGTGATTGGTCAAATGTTGCTAACCCCGCCCCTTTAACGTGAACGCGCTCTCAGCTGGAGAGAGAATCCCTGGCTTGATTTACCGAGTTGATAACCAGCGTTGTAGGACCGCTTAGCGAGATCTCGTTTGTTAGGGTTAGTTAAGATTACTCAAACATATCCAGGGTCTGTTGAACTGGCTTCGTAGCACAGGGCACAGGTGGCTAGCAGCGCTAATGTCAAAGACACAAACATTATACATTATATTTTTATTTTACCAGGATGCAGTGACACAAATATTTGGGAAAGCTTAGCCTTCCCAAGCCTACAGCACCCGCCGCCCCTGCAGCCAGGTAGCGCTTTGCTAACATGGCAACATAAGGATATTTGGTGTTTGTAATAGCTTTGGCTCGGTCTGATCTTTCTGCGAGTGGTGGAGGCTTAAATGCTAGTGGGAGTTGGGTTTGCACTTCAGTCTTTTTTCTTTTGCTACCGGTGATATTCACGTTCGGGTGATGCCTTTTCAAGAGTGTGCAAGTTTGATGTATTGCCAGCCGCGTAACCAATTTTAGTTGAACAATGCCGACAAACAGCTTTGGTTCGGTCAACCTGTCTTTGTCCTTCATCCTTGTACGTAACTGCGAAACCAAAATGTTCCCAAACCGGAGACTTCAATGATGCTGGAGGATTTTCGAGCTCAACTTTATCTGCGTTCGCCATTAATTTTTGACAGTTCCTCAAATTACTGACTACATTTGAACGCATCCCTCTGACCAGCTCTCATAGTATGCCTCTCATCCAATGAAATGACTTGCTCGCTCTATGACGCGTTGAACCCAATGTGAGCAAATTACTCTGAATGCTGCGACGCAGCACCTGAGATTACTTCCAAAAAGTTATTCACGTTCTCAATTTTTTTACGTTTAACGTTATATTCGTTTGGTACACTTCGGTACACACCTGTACCGAACCGAAGGGCCCGTACCGAATAATTTCGGTACGGGTACGTGTACCGTTACACCCCTACTAAGTATGTTTCACACATTAGAGGAATTTGCTTTGGTGTAAACGGTGCATTCAAAGAAAGAAGAATATGTTGTTTTAAAAAAAAAAAACAGAGCAAGAAATAGTGCTATTGTCTTCGTTTCCCCCCTTACTTTGGTGTTCGCAGTCAAATTTGACCGGTCCTGTTTTAACTGCTATTACATTAACACAAAAACCATTAATCATCACCAAATTTCATTTAACACCCTTTCAAACTGTAAATATTGTATCAGACTACTGGTATACATGAAAAACTGCAATAAATATACAAATAGACACTGAACATGTATTGCGTGTGCCAGGTGTGATCCATGTGGGGGGATGGGCACATAAGAGTGGGAAATGGGTCAAATTACATTACATTACATTACATTACATTGCATTTAGCTGACGCTTTTATCCAAAGCGACTTACAATAAGTGCGTTCGTCCAACAAAATACAACTTGAAGAAAACAGAATCATATAAGTACATCAGGTTTCATAGAGCAAAAACATTTCAAGTGCTACTCAACTGGCTTTAGAAAAGCCAGTCCTTTATTAGTATAAAAGTGCTTCGTTAATAGTTCTATCGCTCGAAGTGGAGTCGAAAGAGATGAGTTTTCAGTTTGTGCCGGAAGATGTGCAAGCTATCTGCCGTCCTGATGTCAATGGGGAGCTCATTCCACCATCCTGGAGCCAGGACAGCAAACCCACGTGTTTTCGCCATTGGGAACTTGGGTCCCCCTCGCAGCGAGGGCGCAGCGAGTCGTTTGGCTGATGCAGAGCGTAGTGCACGCGCTGGGGTGTACGGTTTAACCATGTCCTGGATGTACGAAGGGCCAGATCCATTCGCAGCATGGTAAGCAAGTACCAGTGTCTTGAAGTGGATTCTAGCAGTTACCGGAAGCCAGTGAAGGGAGCGGAGGAGCGGAGTGGTGTGGGAGAATTTAGGAAGGTTGAAGACCAGACGAGCCGCTGCATTCTGGATGAGCTGCAGAGGTCGGATGGCACATGCAGGTAGACCAGCCAGGAGGGAGTTGCAGTAGTAAATTGTTCTGTGTGGTGTGTGTGTGTGTGTGTGTGTGTGTGTGTGTGTGTGTGTGTGTGTGTGTGTGTGTGTGTGTGTGTGTGTGTGTGTGTGTGTGTGTGTGTGTGTGTGTGTGTGTGTGTGTGTGTGTGTGTTTGATCTGATCCAGATGGTTACTAATTCCTTTTCTTTATGGCGGTCAGTTTTGACCAGGAACACCATGGGTGTTACAAAGTTGACTAAATCATCCAAAATTCAATGAAAGTGGTGATCAGCAATTTCATATGTTCAAATGTCTACTGTGAAGGATATCATGAAGCCTTAATGCAATCGAATGTAAAACAAAAAAGTTATGATTGATGAAAGTAGTAAATTGGTCAGATTTGATCCGAAGACAACAGGAGGGTTAAAAAGAAGAAAAAAAACGATTTGAAAGATTATTGTAATAAATACAAAATAAATACACAAAATAGTTTATGAAAACTCATGCATGATATGTTAGATACAATAGTGTGACGCCCTGTTAATAAAAGGACCACAAAGCAGAGACTGATTCAGGTAAAGTTTTCAAGGTGTTTATTGAAAAAGGCAGGCAGCTAGGAAGCAGAGATTTGTCCAAGGAAACCACTAGAGTTCGCACAAAACACTGGAGATCTGGGAATCAAGGCTCTAGGCTGCAGACCAGCACTCTGGTTCATCCAAATACATGGAATCATCTGGAAGAGAAGTGGAGTGAGGACTGGGCTTTTATGGAGCAGGTTGATGAGGTGATTGGGAACAGGTGTGCCTCGTCTGCAGCCAGGAGAGTGCAGGCCAGCCACGTCCCCTGCCACACACAAGAAGGGTTAGGTAAGGGTTTTTCAGTGCAGACTTTATTCCTTTATATATATTTGTTCAATGTCTACGTATTTTTGGTGACATGTAGGCTCCACACACTTTAGGAAACATATTGCTTGCCGTGCTACATCCTTTCATTGCCATCAACCTTTCTCCTTTCCATCAATCAGTGTCTCAGTGACTGTAGTCCTGTAATTACCTTGTTGACTAAATCCCAGCTGTGTGTGTGTGTGTGTGTGTGTGTGTGTGTGTGTGTGTGTGTGTGTGTGTGTGTGTGTGTGTGTGTGTGTGTGTGTGTGTGTGTGTGTGTGTGTGTGTGTGTGTGTGTGTGTGTGTGGTGTGTGTGTGTGTGTGTGTGTGTGTGTGTGTGTTGTGTGTGTGTGTGTGTGCATTTGCAAAACATGTCCCTGTGTGAGTGTGTGTTCATGGACGGACAGGAATGAAAATGGGAGGCCGGCCACTTTGGAGCAGCTGCACCGGTGCGCCTGTCGGGTTCAGAGCCCGAGGAGGAGAGGGAGAGCTGTCCTCACGGTGATTGATGGAGCCGCTTCTTGTCCTGCTAGAGGTTATTTAGGAGCTCTGAGGGACCATCGTTAGTTCCTGATGCTCTTAAATATTCCCAATCCTCCCTACCCCCTCTTCATCTTTTTTTTTTACTTTCTTCACCCTGGCCCCCTAACTCTGCCTCTTGCTTTACAAAGGAATGACAGAAATTGTTTACATATGGCCGGCTGATATCGCGATACACCAAATTATCTGCACAGTATCTCACATCCAGCCATGCTTAGACCATTAGATAATATGTTGAGGAAAGCAAAAGCACTGTTTATCAGAAATGTAACCTAACTGAGTCATTATAGTATGCTAAAACTGGATATGGCACATACTTACAGTAATGCTGTTATTCTCTCTGTGTGTCTATACAAACAGTCATGCATCAGCCCTAGCCACATATATCTAGATTTTATTTGTCCACTCCCTTTCTTTTACCCCAATTTGTATCTCTGGTTGACTTCTTTCACTTTGTTTCTCACCCTACTTTTGTTCATATCTCCCTCTTATCGACAATGTTATATATAGCTTAAAACAAATAGTAAGCTCTCACCATCAATTACATCAGAATAGTTTTTCTTTTTTATACACAGCAATATTCAAATGTACCTTACAAGAAGTAAAACAAGTTTTTGTACCCAATAATCCACACATTTATACCTATTCGCTAATTTCTGCTGCATGGTTAAGCTTGATTCAACCACCAGCTTTTTGAACCCCTTCAGTCTGGTTTTCGTCCCCACCACAGCACAGAAACGGCCCTCATCAAAGTCCTCAATGACCTCCTCACCTCTGCTGACACCGGTTCCCTCAACATCCTCATCCTTCTCGACCTGAGTGCAGCCTTCGATACCGTGAGCCACACCATCCTGCTTACCCGACTCCAGGACATCGGTATCGAAGGTACTGCACTCAGGTGGCTCCAGTCCTACCTCTCCGACAGATCCCACTTCATCTACCTCAACAACCACTCCTCTGCCACAGCTTCAGTCACCCAAGGTGTTCCCCAAGGTTCAGTACTCGGCCCCCTCCTCTTCATCATCTACATCCTCCCCCTTGGTCAGATTCTCCGCCAATACAACCTGGACTTTCACTGTTATGCTGACGACACACAGATTTACCTCAGCACCAAATCCCCCCACAACCCCCCCCTCACCCACATCGAATCCTGTGTGACTGCAATAAAATCCTGGATGCAACACAACTTCCTCAAACTCAACAGCAATAAAACTGAACTCCTCCTCATCGGCTCCAAATCCACCCTCAGCAAAACCTCCAACCTGACAGTCACCATTGATGGCACCCCTGTTTCTCCCTCCACCCAGGCACGCAACCTTGGCGTTATATTTGAACCCACCCTCTCCCTCGAGCCCCACATCCGTCAAGTTATAAAAACCTAATTTTTCCACCTCTGCAATATTGCCAAACTCCGTCCCTCCCTCACCCGCCCTGCAGCTGAGCAACTCATTCACGCCTTCATCTCCTCCCGTCTTGACTATTGCAACTCACTCCTTTACGGCATCAGCACTACATCCCTCAATAGACTCCAGCGTGTCCAGAACGCAGCCGCCAGACTCCTCACCCACACCAAATCATGGCATCACATCACCCCGGTCCTCAAAGAACTCCACTGGCTCCCCGTTTCACACCGCATCCACTACAAACTCCTGGTCCTCACTTTCAAAGCCCTCCACCATCTGGCCCCCCCTACCTCACTGACCTCCTCATCCTCTACCAACCACCCCGGTCCCTCAGATCCACCTCAGCCGGTTTGCTTTCCATCCCCAAGGCCAAACTCCGGAGCTTCGGGGATAGAGCCTTCTCTGTGGCAGCCCCGAAGCTCTGGAACTCCCTCCCCCAATACCTCCATGAGTCTGAGTCTCTCACCCTGTTCCAGTCCCGGCTCAAAACCCACCTCTTCAACTCTGTATCCATAAGCTCCCCCCCCCCCTCTCAACCAACTTCCTCCTGACTGCTTTTCTGTTTTGTTTCTTTGTTTCTTTTTGGCTTTGTTTTTGTTTTGTTTGTCTACCCTCCCTCCCAAATGTAAAGCGTCTTTGGGTTCAAGAAAGCGCTATAGAAATAAAATGTATTATTAATATTACTTTTGGTAAAGGTCCTTAAATATTGGGATCCTCTTCACCAAGTTACTCACCGGATCCTTTTATCAGTTTGTTAGCATCGCAAGAGCTCCCTCGACAAAAAGAGTTGTATTTAGGAATTTTGCAAAGTAACGTCAATGATACCCAACAAGTTTTCTTCAGCAAGATGATGTCCCATTATTAAATCACTTAACTAGTGTAAAAGTCATTGCCAGAAGTAAAAAGCTAACATTAGCACAATAGCTTTAAAACCAACCACATCATCATTTGTGCTAAAGGCGGCTAATGTTTAGCACGATGGCGCTTAGTAACTTATATGAACACTTGTTAGCAACTGCCGTGTTTAAGACTGATAGAGACTTTGGACAATCAATAGTGGGGTGTTTACTAAAGTATTTTATGTTGTGGAATAAAATGTGAAAATCTCTTAAAGGTGGGGTAGGTAATTCACTTCAGAAACAGTTATTGTTAAAATCCATGGAATGCTCTTAACATCCCGATAGCAATGAATACATTAAATGCTTTGACAAAAAATACATAAAAAAATGCATCTGTGGAAGCCGTAGCGCTGTAAAAAGCACGACCAATCATCTGAGCCAGTCCGGCTAAAGTAACTGGATGGCCTACCTGCCTGTCAGCCTTCCATCTGTGCACAAACTTATCTCGTGCCCTCATTGGTCATGTGCGCGTTCGTGTGTGTTGGAGGAGGGGCTCTGTAAGGAAGTCTGAAGGACAGGGCAGATTTCTTTTGGTTGTGTACTTTCAAATTCTACACTGAACAAAAATATAAACGCAACACTTTTGTTTTTGCTCCCATTTTTCATGAGATGAACTCAAAGATCTAAAACATTTCTATATACACAAAATAACCATTTCTCTCAAATATTGTTCACAAATCTGAAAAAATCTGTGATAGTGAGCACTTCTCCTTTGCCGAGATAATCCATCCCACCTCACAGGTGTGGTATATCAAGATGCTGATTAGACAGCATGATTATTGCACAGGTGTGCCTTAGGCTGGCAACAATAAAAAGCCACTCTAAAATGTTCAGTTTTATCACACAGCACAATGCCACAGATGTCGCAAGTTTTGAGGGAGCGTGCAATTGGCATGCTGACAGAAGGAATGTCCACCAGAGCTGTTGCCCGTGAATTGAATGTTCATTTCTCTACCATAAGCCGTCTCCAAAGGCGTTTCAGAGAATTTGGCAGTACATCCAACCGGCCTCACAACCGCAGACCACGTGTAACCACACCAGCCCAGGACCTCCACATCCAGCATGTTCACCTCCAAGATCGTCTGAGACCAGCCACTCGGACAGCTGCTGCAACAATCGGTTTGCATAACCAAAGAATTTCTACACAAACTGTCAGAAACCGTCTCAGGGAAGCTCATCTGCATGCTCGTCGTCCTCATCGGGGTCTCGACCTGACTCCGGTTCGTCGTCGTAACCGACTTGAGTGGGCAAATGCTCACATTCGATGGCGTCTGGCACGTTGGAGAGGTGTTCTCTTCACGGATGAATCCCGGTTTTCACTGTTCAGGGCAAATGGCAGACAGCGTGTGTGGCGTCGTGTGGGTGAGCGGTTTTCTGATGTCAATGTTGTGAATCGAGTGGCCCATGGTGGTGGTGGGGTTATGGTATGGGCAGGCGTAAGTTATGGACGACGAACACAGGTGCATTTTATTGATGGCATTGTGAATGCACAGAGATACCGTGACGAGATCCTGATGCCCATTGTTGTGCCATTCATCCACGACCATCACCTCATGTTGCAGCATGATAATGCACGGCCCCATGTTGCAAGGATCTGTACACAATTCCTGGAGGCTGAAAACATCCCAGTTCTTGCATGGCCAGCATACTCACCGGACATGTCACCCATTGAGCATGTTTGGGATGCTCTGGATCGGCGTATACGACAGCGTGTTCCAGTTCCTGCCAATATCCAGGAACTTGGCACAGCCATTGAAGAGGAGTGGACCAACATTCCACAGGCCACAATCAACAACCTGATCAACTCTATGCGAAGGAGATGTGTTGCACTGCGTGAGGCAAATGGTGGTCACACCAGATACTGACTGGTTTTCGGACCCCCCAGACCCCCCCCAATAAAGCAAAACTGCACGTTTCAGAGTGGCCTTTTATTGTGGCCAGCCTAAGGCACACCTGTGCAATAATCATGCTGTCTAATCAGCATATTGATATGCCACACCTGTGAGGTGGGATGGATTATCTCGGCAAAGGAGAAGTGCTCACTATCACAGATTTTTTCAGATTTCTGAACAATATTTGAGAGAAATGGTTATTTTGTGTATATAGAAAATGTTTTA